CAGTGGGTACAAATTGCCCTAATTCCTTATTTCTCTTACCTTAATGTGTCTATCAAACACTGCCTTTCAACAGCTTTCATCCACGGTCAGCTCAGACGTGCCCTGCAGCTTCGCGGGGCTTCACGCTGTGCTGCTCTAGTCTGTGCCAACGAAGCCAAAAATGGATTCGTAGCTTTCTATAGGTCGTATAAACCAAGCCAGTTTTAGGGAAAGTAGAAAAATCTTTTGTTATAGGTTTGATCTGATCTTGTAAAATACATTTCCTTTCCCTAACAGGGCTCGTCTAATGTTTTTGATGGGAAAAAAAAAAAAAAAAATCAGGGTATCAGGTTACTATATGATTCCTAATGAACGAGGAGTGGCTCCAAATCCTTCTGCTTAAAATGTCCTGGAGTGCACTGCACTCAACCCACAGCTTTAGTTCAGTGACTTCAGCAACAGCAAGAAAAATTGCTGCAGGATTCGGGCATTTCAGGGGCAGGGACAATAATCTATAGAAGAGGGACAGTAATGAATACCCAAGATCCGTAGTTTTATAAAGAACCTAAGCTAGAACAGGAAGGTTTATGGGATTATGCCCTGGACAAGTCTGCGGCAGGCAGAAATGCAAGCAAACAAAAAACAGACATAAAGGAGGGTTTAAGCAAACGCTGAGGAATGGAGACCTTGACATAGCAAGACACTCACATATATGAGACGAGTCAGAGCAGATCCATAAAGATGCCAGTGTTATTCAGGGCAGGAAACAAAAGCATGGGGAGGCAAAGTGCCTTGTTAGGCCAGAGGGACCCAGCTCCCAAGTCCCCGGCAGGGCCCGTCCCCCAGTTTGACTGCTTGGCTCCAGGGGCTGCTTTCAACACTGAAGGGGCCTCCAACATTTCCATGGCAAGATCAACAGCATCCTGCTTTTCTTTTTTTTTTTTTTTTTTTTTTTTTTTTTCAAGGTTTTTGGCCTCTGACTCTCTGTAGGGATATTAAATACATTTTGAGGTTTCAGAGAAATTTCATTTTTAATTTTAATTAGCAGACATCAGAGGACCTGACCCCTTTTACAACAGCTGGAAGGGCTGGGTAACTGAGGTCCAAGTAGTCAAGGTCAAAATATGTTTCTTAACGCACAGCTGACAATTACCTAATATTGACTTTTTAACAGCATAGATATTAATCTACAAAATCTTCAAATCTTCAGACCCAAAATTATTTTCCATAAACTAATAGAGTTCTTCTTAAAAAAACCCCAAAACTATTAACGTGCCATACCATTTCACGTAGCAGTGGTGCCTCCGCTCGTGTTCAGGTCTGTCCACACCAGCCGTGACGCTTAGCATAAGGCCGCTGTTGTGTTTAGCACAGGACCCGCTGCGTCCTGCAGGTCCCGGTGCCCGCAGCCTGCGCGCAGGTACGGCAGGGCCCCGTCACCCATGGGCGCGCGCTGCTCAGCACCAACCGGGTGGCTGTGAAGGACACACAGGAGCTGGTGACCTGATCTTCTTCAGATGGTGCCCCAGTTCTCACTAAGAGACAGCAAGAAAGAGCAGCCCTGCTTCCTTACACGGAGCCTTTTTCAAAGCTCGACCTAGTTTGTCAGAGCAGGTCATTTATGATACCGTTCTAAGGGGTCTTAATGCAGTGCTACTTAATGCAGGTGCAGGAGAGGAGAGGGCGAAATCGGCCTGCGGGCAGAGCTGCACCATGGCACCACTCCTGTAAAGACGCAGGTCTTGCCCACAGCCAGTGCACTCGGAGTCCTGGCAGGAACACGGGCCATATGTCTCAGAGCAAAATGGGAGCGTTTCCACGCACCCCAGAGTCTGAACTAAATGTACGTGAGCTTGTATCTCATAACTTCTACAAAGCTGTTGCCTATCGCTGGCATTCAAACTGACTGCCTCAACCAAGTCATGATTTTTCTTAGGATCTGCAGAAACAGCAAGCTGGGAGGAAGGAGTGGATCTTCTCGGACACCATCTGTCTGAGCAATCCCTCCGACACATCTGCTGTTGAGAAAAAGCCACTCCACAATATAAACCAGGGACGAAACTTCATCATATTTGCTAGCCCTAACACTTCCTCTGTGCCTAAGTAACACTAGTGCTAGTTTCCTACTGACTGACAAGCCCCGGCGGCGCGTCACCTGCTCGCTCCGAGGCATCCCTGCGATTCCGATGGGGCCGCGGCCGCGCTGGGCGCTGCTGAGCGAGGCCCCTCCACGCCGCCGGCTCCCAACTCATCCCCGAGCTTACAGAACAGGAGATAAAAATAGGCTATCGTTCTGCCAACATCCCCATAATCCCTGTGCTCGTTAGAAACAGAGTCATGTAACTGCTCTCCGTCAGGACGGCGCTAATGAGCGCTGACCTGGCGATATTTACCTTGCGAGAGCCCCGCAGAGCTGTGGGCAAGGCAGGGAGCTGGCCACGAGCCTCCCCTCCTGCGCGGCAACGTCGGGATTTATCCACATCCTCCACCGATGGCTCATCCGAAAGCTCTGGCACCACGTTCTTGCTGTAACTGCTCACAGTTACTCTTTGGCTTATATGCATTTCACTGAGGTCAGGATACCGCTAATGTAAATCCACTAATAAATCAATCTCCTCACAATCAAGCTGTATTTACATAAATTATACTCATATGTCAATCAGTGTGCTGGATGTTATAATGAAAAGCGGAAGGAACAGGGGGCTTTGGGTGCAGGCGCTGAACACACAGCAAGAACACAGGAACAGGAATGCAAACAGTTCATTTAGATGCAGTTCAGAGAAACCCTCACTTCTAGCAGAGTTTAAAAACCCGGGATGGTGAAGAGAAAATCTAGTCATGGATTAAAGAAAAAAAAAAAAATCTTGTACAAGGCAAGAGGGAAGGAACGAGTGCAGCAAAGACAGAACATAGGGAACAAACGAGGCTTTTCTGAAACAAAGCAGACGTGTGGAAATGCCTGCAGGCAGCCTGCAGGACCCACAAAGCAACCCGAGCTTCAAAGTGCATCAGGACTACAAAACCAAACAGGGATCAAGAAAGCAAAACGAAGAGAGAACAAAGCAGAGGTTTAACTTTCCACATGGCAGACCTGAGGCAGCCTCTAAAGGAAGGGTTAGGAAGAAAATCCCAACCAACAGGCAGGTTATTTCACGAGTGTCCACTGCGGGGCCCCTGCACCCTTCCCGAGGCTCTCGCACGGGCTGCTTTGGCAGAGAGAAGGGCTCAGACCCGCAGCGTGACTCACTACACAGCTCCAGACACGGCACGGGCCGAGACAACGAAGGAAGCTATGCCCAGTGTAGAAACTACTGTGTAGTCTTAAGATCATTATGTATTGCAGAGCAGAAACGTGCTGGGAAGGCAAAGCCTGAAAAGGAGCCAGCCTCTGGCTACTCCTCAGACTGCCCTTCCTCCGGACGAGCAGGAAGAGCCACAGCAGCTCCCTGCTCTCACGTGCGTCCCGAACGGGGCCGAACATTTTTATCCTCGCTTGCCCCCAGTTCGCTGGGTTCCTCGCCGTGGCCTCCTTGCGAGGAATCCCAGTCACAAGCAGCTCGAGCCAGGTCCCAGAGGGGCTTTCAAGCTCACAACAGGCTCCCCTGCCAGAGGGGGGAATAAACACCTACACGCCAGCCCAAGCGGGCCGAAGAAGAGCCCTGGCGCCTCTAATGGGACCCTGAGCACATTCCACATGGTACGTTACGTCAGTTCATCACTGACATTGCCTGGTAGATAGGAGTATGCACAGATGACATTATTAGTAGATTTTATTATTTTTAAAAGCTGCCTCTCAGATGAAATTCCTGATACACAAAAAGGAAATGAGCAAAATGAGGCAAAAAAAAACCCCAAAAGGGAATCCTTTCAACAGGCTGAAAAGTACTGGAAAGGTAAAAATATAAAGGTGGAGGCCTAAAGGATAAAAAAAAAAAAAACTAAAAACTGATTTCTCCCTGATCAGCACGTCACGATACAGTCACAGCTCATGCAGCTGACACTCTCATAGCTGAAAGAGGGATTTGTTTTTAATACATTTTTCTTTACACCAGGATTAAACAAAGTAAAAAACCACACAACCATTTCATACTAGGCAGAATTAAAAGCAATAGTCTTTTTTCAATGCAAGACTGTATGCCTTGTATTGCCAGCTGCTCAATACTGGCTCTCTCACCAGCATCTTAGATGATTCAGGTTTCGAGGTTTTCCTCTGCCTTTTTCCTTCCCCTTTTGCAATTTCTCCCTCCCCACAGGGCGTCCCAGGTGCTCCGTGCTCCCCTTCCCACACCTGCTGGGCAAACACGCAAGCTCCTTTATTCATTTGTCTCCTTCTGGTATCTGCTACATTCCTGAAAGGCACCTTGGTTGCTGAAAGGATTAAAAAAAAATACCCCACAAAATAAGCTTGGAATAGTAAATCCAAACATCACCAGTCTTTGCAAAAATCACTGATTGTCACTACAGGCTTCTGCATCCATTTCTATCATACACACCAAAAGGCAGGTAACAGAAGAGGGACGGAAAAACTTGGAGAAAAAAAAGAATAAAAAATATTCATCATACAAATATAATACCATTCCGTAATTTTAAAGGAACCAACCCTTAACAGAAAAATTGTTCAGTGTATATATATGTTTCATTTTCTAATAAGCAAATAAAAGGACTTACCTTTAAAATGCACAGGATCCTTCTGAAGACTTCTCTATATCGCAGTCACATAGTCTTCAGTTTTAGAGAAGAAATAAAGCTGCTCAGAGGGGTTTGCAAGAGAGACTTCACAAACCAGAGCGTGGTTTCAATTTTGCTCTTATTCTTTTTAACACAAAGTGCAAAAACTATCAAATATGCAATTTTGCAAAATAACCTTTTATTTCATATGGCTCCATTATTTCCAAACAATACAGTACCCCAGATGTATAATTATTTTGTGTGATTGCATCATACCAGCACAAAATCTCCAGCCGACTATTGAAGAATGCACCGAACCTCGGTCTCATGATCTGGAAATCCCGCTTTTAAGTACCTTTGGTCCCAAAATTTTATGTCAAGGCAAAGAGGAGCAGTTGAATGCTGTCACACACAGTGATCGGTATTGGTATTATCTTCTACAAACAGGTGAAAAGGTTAACAGCACTTTATGGCAATGTCAAACAGCAGAAAAACAATTATAATTTTTGCAAAACAAGTGTACAATCAACAGTACCACAGCGGTCCTTATATTTTTAATTCAACAAAATAAACGGAAGTCTTGCTTCTCAAAATCTGATGACTTAAAAAAATCTCTCCTGTAAGACACACCACTGCTGAAACACTCAACAGAACCATGCATAAAATGAGAGAATCCATAAGGAACATGCACAGAGAGGGAACTGAAACCAACACTGTTCTTGGTGAATGGGCAAGGATTCCTCACAAAATGGGAATCAAAGAGCAGCAATGCTAAACTATGAGACTTCCACTGTTTCAGCCGTAACGACTCACGTACGAACAACGAAGCAAACACAAACCTAGGGGTGTTGTGTGCAACCCTGGCAGAGAACCAGCCTTTTTCACACGAACTCGGACCTTCTCACTGGTGTGTGCAACAGCTCGCAGGTAACATTTCTCTGTTTTTTTCCCCATCCTGTATCTTTCTATGCACTCCTCCATTATATTGCTCCTAATTCCAAAGGTATATTAACTAGGCAACCATTTTGTGATCAACTGTGGTTCATTAGCATCGTTTTCCATCAAATGCATTTTGAGCTGTTGAGAACAGCAAACGCACCGACGGCTCCGTCCAAATGCCCACGACGGCTGTAACGCCGGCCAACCGCACAACTCGCTGGAGCTCCTGGGAATTCAGGGCTTCCAACCAGCTTCCTACGCTCCAGCCTTGACCAACACGGTACGCAGTGCAGAATTTCCTATACGCAGGACATCTTAGGTTCTTAATTAAAAAATAATAATAATAAAAAAAATCCAATTCTCTTTCAAGAGGTCGCATCCACGTTCGTGCTGGGAGTACTGTCCTGGGTACTTTGGATTTCCGAACAGTTTTCATTCCAGCGTCATCAACAACAGCTGGGCCACAAAGGCAGCGCGGGCGGGAAAGAGCTGCTCCGACACGCGTTGCTCTCCCTGTCACAACCCCCATCAGTGCTGGCCAACCAGTGCCTCGCAATAGTTAAGAACAACGAAGGAACAAACTCAACGGGAACAGCAACCGGATAAATCAGACCATCATTTGAAACATTATTGCGCAGTACTAACACTTCCTTAGGCAGCATGTGAACACTCGCTATGCCTGCAGTCGACTGGAAAAAAAATATATATATATATACTGCATTTGAAAAGAAAAAAAAAAAAAACACTATGCTCTTACACAGAGTTTACTGGGTTTATAAAGAACAACCTCCTGATGCGAGTTCCCCCTGTGCAATCTGCTTATATAAACTTCCCCTCTCATATCGTGCGATCGTGGGTCGGAATAAGTACCCATGTGGGTGGCAATGGTCCTGACTGTCCCAACATCCCCCCGTAAAGTGGCAAATTAAATACATTCCTTCTTTCAGCTGCAATTCAACAGAAGCCTGAGGCAACACGCTACGCAGCCAGGGCTGCCTCCCTTTTGGGCACCTACCTCCTCTCCCAGGGGCTTCGCCTTGCACCGGGGGCGCTGGGCCTGGCTCGGAAGGGGCGGCCTTTCCAAACGGCATCTCCCAGAAACGAGGGCCTGGAGGCGAGCGCCGTCCTCGGCCTCCCCACAAGGAAGCTACGATAAAACTGCTGCTCTGGGGGCTGGGGAACATTTACCTTGGTATTTTTGCATGAAACCCAGGAAATCTGCTTCGAATTGTACGGATTCTGCTGTGCTCCCTGCTCTTCCACAGGGAGCAGAGGCTGGGTTTGTGTTGGGGTAGCACCCGGTGCCATTCATACAGCACGAGACACAGGAGGATCGATAGGGCCAAGGCAGAGCCAGAACTACTGAGGGCTGGCTTTACTCCCAATAAAACTAGAATATAAAATGCAGCAGCCACAGCTGAGTTCTGGCCATCCCGCTTGTATTTAGAGAGATTAATTTTATTTTAGGAACAGCTCTCAAACCTTTGTGTCACCACAGAGGCATGATGCCAGCTAGACCTGCCAGAAATGAGAATATACATCACTGACATCCTTTCCAAAGCATCATACGTTACATCTGAAAGCCTCATCTGTTCCAGTTTGCCTTTAAATTCAACTCCTTCTTCCACTTTGATTTCAGTACAGTGCCAGACCTAATACTGCCCTCCATGTAGTTATCCAGGGCATTTACCGTACTTTTTGCAGATTTATGCTAGCAATTGTACCCATTTTATTAAGAAAATAGTTTTTCTTTTTTTTTCTCCTAAACAAAACATGAAGATTTGTTGGCATTGAATTATTCAAACTCTCTTACGAGCATATTTAGTGCAGCTGTAACTAGTAAGGGAGAAAAAGGCCTCCATAAGCCATTCAAAGGTCACCTCGGTTCGACTGCAGTATACAAAAAAGAGAGGTGGCTAAAAATCACCAGCACCACCAGCAGACCTTCAGAAACAGCTCGAATCCTTCTGGCTTCAGATTTGTGACAGATAAAAGCTCTCCTCTACATCCTAAGCTGTACATCTTTCCTTCACTGTGTTTTCATCTTTAAAAGTGCATTTTGCAAAATGATAGTGATCAGTGAGATGCAATCTAAACACAAAAAGGGAAAACAAATCAAGTGACCTTGTATTTCTCCAAGTTCCCTCATAACACGGGATACTGTTAAGCACACAGAATTCAGACAGCTGATGGTAAAACCACAGCAAGGATGGGCTGATTCATCACGTGTGGATAACTCTTAATCACAAAACGATACTGCAGTGCTTGATTCCCCACAGAAACCACCTGGCACTGGATCACATTTGGGTCCTGTTTTTGGATCGGTGTCTAACACAACCACTGCTGAGCAGGTAGCAGCAGCAGCAGCGTCGCCGCCAGCCGCTCTGCAGAGCATCTTTAGTGACTCCAGCACAACGAGCTGCAATAAAGCACGAGTCTGTGCAAATGAGGAACCTCTACCACACAAGTGTTGTACAGACTACTGATGAGACACGTTGCTGAATTTTCTGAGCTCTAACTACAATGCCAAGGAATACTCGTGGTGATGGTTTTCTGGTCGCAGACATTCTTCTACGGCGGTTGTACGATTGCACCTTTTGTCCAAATGCTGAATTTGCTTAAGTGTGGGTGAGAGTATACACCTTTTAAAAATACAGACAATTCTTAAAATAATACATCATCAGGTCACTATGTTACTGATCTTCACTTTTAAAATTCCCCCAACAAGAGGTACGAGTCCATCCAGTATTTTCCTTTACGCTTGTATATTCACATTTGCACATACAACATGATACTCATCGGCAAGAGCCCGGATTCCCACTGTGTCCTCAGGTCCCATTCAACTTTTAAAATAGGCAATGATAAAAATACTGGAAGATGCAGTACCACATACCACCTGACAAAAACGCAAATGATTGTATGCCAACTAGCCACAAATTACTGAGGGTCATCGCTCGAGAAACAGCTTTTGTTTGGCCCTGCAGTGGAGGAAACGCTCCTAAAAAAGAAAAGAAATAACAAATTTAGTGCTGGCGTAGCAGGAACGATAGGCTTAGTGTATTATTCTTTACCTGGAGTGTCTGTACCACCAACAAGAAACTGGATACTTGTCTTTTGCTGTAAATTTTAAAAATAACCTCCAGTAATGTGATCTTTTCAAGAACATAGGAAAAGAGACTAGGCATAATTTGCATTTTATTTGGGTGTAGAATTAAACTCTAAGCACAAACTTGCAAGCATTCTTAAAAACTAACTTCACTGTGTTCAACTTCGCACAGAGATCCGATCATCAACTAAACTTTCTGCAGTAATTTTAAAGTTACAATGATGTCCATGAGATCAAATTCAATGGTTACCAATTTAAGTTTTAGAGCTGGCTGGTATCAGTTTTGCCTATTGCAAAGGAGCAATGCACATTTAAAAACAAGTTTTCATATTGAGTGAGCATTCACTGACTGCTCAATCACACACAGATTAAGGAAGCTTTATAATTTGCTATCTGTAGAAAGCTTTTTTTTATCTCTAGGAAGATTTTTTTGAAATATCTGTCTGTATATGACAGAAAGAGCAGGACTTGGCAGACGTGATTAAAAATGACTTTTGCTGACTTCACACTGTATTTAAATATGCTCAAATATATCAGAGGTTTATAATCATAAAATAACAAAGTATTTGCACTTATTTACATCAGTATATTAAAAACTCGCCTTACACTTTAGAAATGCACAAAGCCTAGCAGATATGAATCTTTTTTTCTGGTGAATCCTGAACAACGGATATAAAAACTCCTGAGAATACTATATACATAGATCTACTTGCTGTAATATTATGGAGTGACAGTTGCTCATACAAGAACAAAAGATGAGAGAGTAAAGATAAAGCAATGTAAATTCTGCATCTTAGAAACGACACCATTTTTGCAGTTAGATCCTATCAGCATCTTATCTCTCTGCCTCACATTCGCAATCACTGCAGGAATTGCAGTCAAGCGTTAAGGCAAAGCTTTTTTTGCCGTATTAATTAAAAAAGAACAAAAAAACCCCAAACCACAAAAAGCCACCTCAGTGTTTCCCATCCTCCACTCCCTGACGCACAATGACGCACAATATTTTCACACATGGGCAGATCTGCCACCCTGTTTATTTACCAGTAATGGTTATTCAGCTGCAAGTTCTAACCCGACAAAGGCTCATCTTCTGTTCACCCACCACAAAGTGCATTTTGCATTTATTCTCATATTCATTTATTATTTATTTTGCATTTGTTGCCATGTCCCTCCCCACTTTTTTTTTTTTAAACCAACACTGGCCTCTGGTTTAAACAACTAAATATACTCCTCAGTACGGTCAGCAACTTCCCTTTCCTTGCCTCCCAGGCCAAGCTGCATCTCCAGAGGGGCTGATCCCTCACTTCCCTAGATGGGATGAGCTGAGCGCTCCCCGCTGCCCTGCGCACAAGCAAGTTCCTTGCTCCTATCACCCATCTTTGCTCCCATCACCCAGTGATTCCCCGGGCACCAGGGTGAGGCTGAGAGGGTTGCTGAGCCAAGGGAAAGGGCACTGCTGCTCTGAGCCGGGACAGCAAAGGAAACAGCAGCACCTTCTCCTGGCAGAAGTTGCAGTAGCTCTATATTATGCTAATTTATGCCTGGTAAAGCATAAATTAATCTATGTCGTGGCAGCTACATTAGCATGTCTCATTAATGCACGCTTAGTATGCCAGCAAATTATAACCAATTATCCTATTTTTGAAGTGCATTTCAAGGAATAAGTATGATTATCTTCATTATGCTTGTTGGAATTCTAGTCTGGTTACATTTTTGGGGGCATGACCATTTTATGTTGTCGCTATCTGTAAAATACTACAGCCTCACTAACAAGAACTCCCTGCATCCTACTGTGATTTTGCTTAAAGCTACAAAATGTTGTCATTTTTTTGCCTAATAAATTCCAGCACACACATTCAGAGGCGATTTATTCAGCAGGGCCTGCCTTTTGTCACCAGTAACGTCTGAATGACATTTGTAAAGTCTAGCACAACTCTGCGTTGCCAAAGAATCCTACTGATCATTTTAAGCATGACAGCTGACAGTTAAGCCCTCATAACTACATTAAACCAGTATTTGCAATAAATCACCTAGCACAAGGAGGATTCTTGTTTAACAATTCATTCTGGAATACTAAACTCAGTTTATTCATGTTGTTTATTAGCAAGCGCCACAGCTGTTTAAAGGAAAGGATTATTTTTCTTCAGACACAAGCTATATTATTTCATCTGGAATCCTCCTGTTCAGCCTAGGTTTGATAAATTCATATCCATGTATGCCCACTAAATAAAGCTCAGATCGTAACCTCTCTGGATTTTATCTGTTTTGTATTCTGCATAAACACACACACACAACTGCTCAAAAGACAGGTGATAAATCACCTGGAGAGAAAATGTGTACTTCATGAAAGAACTCTCCAGCCTTAGTTTTAAAGGTATTATCTGGATATTTCATATTAATCATGAAGTTCAGTAAAGAGAAGTGTAGAGTCCTGCATCCAGGCTGGTGGATGACATGCTTGGTGCAGAGAAGCACCTGGGGGTCCTTGGGGCTACAAGTTGACCACAAGCTAGGAAAGTGCCTGTGTGGCCATGAAGGCCAACAGCATCCTGGGGTACGTGAGGAAGAGCGTTGCCAGCAGCAGCTCAATCCTCCTCCTCCTCCTCCGCTCAGCACCGGTGAGACCACATCTGGACCACTGAGTTCGCTGCTGGGCTCCTCAGGACAAGAGTGACATGGACCTACTGGAGAGAGTCCAGCAAAGAACCACTAAGATGATGAAGGGTCTGCAGCATCTCTCCTATCAGGAAGGGTCCACAGGATCTCACAGCAAGGAGGCCAGTACTGAGGGAACAAGGCTGCAGATCAAGCCTTGAAGGACTTCATGCTACATAATTCTTACAATTATAACACCTTCCTGGTCAGCTTAGCAGGGGTGGGAGGGAAGCTCTACCAGTCTGGACTGGAATAGAGGCTATTTAGGTGTTTTTTCTCCAAAAGTACAAGGGCCAGAAGTACATGTCAAATACCAACACTCAGCAGACACACTCGTCTGCTTCATTTAGGTCTTGTTTAATCTCTTTTAGCGAAGGTCCTGCTCAATTGCAATTGTTGAAGGTTTTATAATCCCCACAAATTTATTAGCATCAACTCTGAATACTTTTATTATGCAAGTGTTCACTGCTGTTTTGAATCTTGATAAATTACCCAAGGAAATCCTGTAACAGCTTGTTTCACAGCAAAATCATCTTCTTTAAAGGTAAGTTTTCCTTATCTCAGTTTTGAATGTGCCAACTTCCAAACACCATCCTATTCTAATGTGACCTTGTAATCTGTCTTCTCTACATCACTTATGAGCTGTTCTTTTGTCATATATTATATTGTGAATAATCACACCTACTGCATACAACACGTAAGAAGAATAATTATACATTCTTAAACCATTTGGATATCCCTTTATGAAAAGGGCATCATCAAAGCACAATTCCCTTGGCCAGCAAACATCCTACCTGTCTCATAGAAATGTGTCAGGAGATCCTCCTTCTCAATGAAGCGCTGATACAGCCAGTGGGCAAGCGCCTCAGGCTCTGCAGGTACATCCTTAATTGGGAAAACCCTACCAGAGAAGCAAACATAGTTAAACCCAGGAAATGCATTCTGCATGTAGGAAAAGGAAAACAAGCAAATAAAACCCCCAAAGCCCACACCATGCTGCCCCAGCTCATCCCAAAAATACAGAGGAGCCTGCTGTAAAATTAACTGCATGGTTCATTCTCCGATCACAGAAGTATAATTCATACAAAACCAGAATACTCCAGGCTACCAGTGAGATGCATGAGGACGTTGGCATTCCCAGCTCCTACTGAATGCAGGGCTGCACAGAGGCCGGGGACGGCTCCCACCCGCCTTCCTAAAACCCCACCAGCACCACACTGTATTACTGTCCTTACAAATACAAAGCAGAACCAAAAGAAATGAAGACCAAAGGCTCATCCTCAATTCTGAGGGAACAGTTCTTCAGCAGGCAGAAGGTAAACAATACCACCAAGTGCCCACAGGTCTTCCCCAGACCAGGAAACAAACCCTCCATGCTTTTCAGCAAAAGCAATCGCCTTGTTGGAAAGGACTAGGGCAGGCTGCACACTGAAAATTGACAACATATGTAAGGGTACTCAAATACTACTGCCATGTCTTTAAAAGCTACGGCAAGAACTACCAACATTTTTGAACGTCTACAATGAATAATGGCTCTGTTTAAAACAAACAAATAAAAAAATGCAAGGAAAAAAACAAACAGGAAAAAAAACCCCACAGATGTCCAAGGAAGAATTCATGCAGATAAAGAAGAAATCCTCTCCCCTCCACTCCTTACACCTCAAAGCAGTAAATTTAAAAAAAAAAAAAAAAGTGAACTTCATTTACACATCCACATTGGGTTTATTGGGAGGCCAGTGCAGAAGATATTTGTGCATCAAGGTAGCTTGAAAATTCATATTCCAAAACGTAAGACGGTAGGTTGCTCTTTCCATTTGAGCTCTCGTTTAACCTGTCTTCTATGCTATGCCTCTACATCCATTAGTTAATTTTTCATTTCCATTTAAATAGGAGCTTAATTAATTACACTGGAAAGCATTTGAGGTAACAGTGCAGCCACGTGTCTGAGCAGCCTAGGGAATGAGATGCTAAGGAAAAAAGAGGGGACCTGAGGCAAACGCCACGTTTTGTTGCTAGGTCATGCACATCTACCCCTTTCACAGCTCCTCTTCTGCCTCCTCTGCCTCCGCTTTGAGCTGAGGTAAAGCCAACAACAAGTCTTGCAGACACCAGCATTTAAGGACCTATCTTTTAACTGTAATTCCAGATAAGACATTCAATCATTCACTCAAATTATCATTTGAGTTCTCCTTCCGCGTGTTTGTTCCCCAACCTCCATCTTCGTGGTCCAGTACATTGCTCCAACTCTTGCCTTGTCTATTAAGCAGACAACGGAAGGGAGAATATAGCACTAGGTTATCTTGGAGACCAGATGCTGTAAGGCAGATCCAAATGGGACGAGGGACGCTCAAGCAAAAACAAGCCAAACACTCAGCCCACAACACAGGACCCATCTCTCTTGAGGGTGAAGCACTAAACACAACTCTGCCCCCACACACAACCAAGATCCCCGGCGCTATTTTTACTGTCCGCTACCTACCCGCTGCTAGAAGACAAAAGGACACAGAGCCGAGCGTTGTGTTTCGCAGTGTATTTGTGAGGCAGACGCTTGCTTAGGCCAGCCTGACGTGGCTCACGTTGAGAAGAGTGAGCGAGGGGGCTCCGGGCTCGCACTGCCCGGCTTCACACACACTTTGCATCACCAGCTGCAGGGCCCTTCACCTCCACCTCCACTGCTCAGTCACCCAACAGCTCCAGGGCTCGCTAACCCGGTTAGCCTTGGCGTTTTTTTCCAAGGATGTGCCCACTAATCTGAAAGCATTATCAGCAGAGTGCACAAAATGTCCACAAGAAACTATTTGGGAGACAGCAATTTAACGGGGTAGCAAATAGAGGGGATGGCAGTGAGCTTGTGGGAGCCTGATGGAGGGAGGCGCATCCAAGTGCTGCCCGAGTCCATCCAGCTTCTTGCAGGAATCAGTGCATTACCTGCAGGCGTGAGCCACCGGATAGGAAACCTGCTTCTTCCAAGTTTCAGAACCAATCCCAATTGCACACACTCTGACAAACTTCCAGCAGGCTGGAAAACCACTCAGGTTTCAGTAATGCTATGCTGACTGTCATCAATTCTTAATTGATGACAACTGCTAGTTCATTTAAAAGCATTTTAACCACATTTTTTGGATTATACAGAGTTATATCCTTACTAGCCAAATTTCACATTAATAATTGGGGTAAATTAAGAGATAAAATGTCTATAAAATCCCTTTGGAATAGAAAAGAAAGACACATCCAGAGGATTACTTTTAATCCAGTTTAAAATGAACATTTGTGTTTCTCACACAGAAATTATTTGCTCTCATACAATCCAGTGAGAATGTAAGTCTTAAAGGCAGGTGTCCTAAGTTTTGAAGAACACCTAATGTTCAGAAATAGCTCCTTCATCCCAAACCATCCAGCAGCTGCCTAAAAACAGAGCTCTTGCCTGTGTTCTACACTGTGAACTACACCGTGTTCACAGACAGACGCTACAGCACCCAGCCCCTGCAGGTGCCTTTTTTTCCCCCCCCCTAATTACAGAGGGAAGAATAAAACTGAAAGGAAAATGGAAACCTGCCTCATGCTGGAATTTTGTCACTAGGACATCTGCAATACTTATGTGAACCAGTAGTTATATGCAGGCTGCAGACCACCCCAAATGACTAATCTGGTTCTATGTCATATTTTTACATGTCAAAAGAATGAAAGAACCAAAGGAGTTTTATGGAAAAACACCCAATGAGAACAAGTCTACAGAAGCATGCGTGGAAAGAAAAGGGAAAGAACAGGAAGAGGTGAATGAGGACAGTTACCTAAAAATCTTCAGTTTCACACCAATTTAAATGATACATTCCAGCTATCTCAATGTTAAAAGGAACTCTTCCTTTGGATTTGCTCTTCTCAAAAGCTCACAAATCAGTTTCAGGAACACAGTATTTTTAGAAACATGTGATCTCTTTTAAAGTCCTTTTTAAAGTAACAACCTTGAATTCCATATTAAAAATCACTCATTCCACTCCTAAGTACTAATTGCCTTTCATCATGTGTCCAATCCTGAATTAGGGCATCTATATTATTTTCTACTCTTTCGAAATCATAACCTTATTGCTGTTTCAGGTACTTTTAAAATAAACTCGGTATCATGAAGGACTTGACTAGATCTCAAAGACAACCAGAGGCCAGTTATTTGCTCAAAAGAAGAAAATAAGGAATGCATACCAAAAAAACCCCAAAAAACATGCCTCTCCCCAAAAAAACCCCAAAACCCAAGAAAACCATTAAACCATATTGCCAAACCAGATGCCCTTCACAGAAATTTCTGCCATGCTCATTCAGCAGCCACAACGGATTGCATCTTGTTCATAGCTAAGGCTCCTTACTTATTTTTACTAAATCCATAGGCAGGCAGACACGCACAGGAGAAACGCAGAGCCCTGACAGGAGCACCCGGAGCAGCAGCACGAGGGGAGAGGGACAGAGCTCTGGGCACACGGGAGCTCGTGACAGAGCGCCGGCCTCGCACGGGCACCGAACGGCTGAGCTTGGAAGGGACCTCTAGAGACCATCGAGTCCAACCTCCTGCTCCAGCAGGGACACCCAGAGCACGGGGCGGCATCCAGGCGGGATTGGAGACCTCCAGAGAAGGAGACTCCACAGCCTCCCTGGGCAGCCTGTCCCGGGGCTCTGGCACCCTCACAGGGAGGAGGTTCCTCCTCACGCTCGGCGCTGTCCTGCTGAGCGCGGCTGGCTCCGGCTCGGGAGCTGCCCCATCAGCCCCACCATGGCACACGGGGAACAGCGGGCGCACGGAGGTGTGCAAGGACATCGCTCGGCAGGGGGCTCATGAAAAATCCCAGCCCAGTGTGGAGCGACTGGAAGCTGCCAGGGAAAATTGACATTCACTTCTTTTCAATTTGAGACTCCGATTCTGACAAATTTGGAAATTTTAGCGTTAGGGAAACACACTAACTGAGAAATGCCAAATCAAGTTAAACTAAAGCAGAGACCAGTGTAAAAAGAAAAAAACATCCAAAAAAACCCCAATCCACGAGGGTAAACAGTGGGAGGTGGGAAGCGCTGCCAGGACACTGTCCCATTAGCCAAACATCAAACCACTCAGCCTATTTCTTCCGAAACATTATTGAAGCTGGGTTTATATTAAAAACACATCATACAAGCTGACCCATAAAGCTACACCATGCTGACCACAGGTGACAGCCACCTTCCCAAAAGGCTTCTCAAAAGGCAGATTTTGGGTTTTTTTGCTTGTTTTTTAAGCAAAAAGTCTCTTTTGATACTTGACCTGGTGCTCAGCTTCTGAAAAACAGATAATTTCTGCAGAAACTTGGAGTTTAACAAGCAAGCTTCAAACTCATCCACCAAAATGGGACAGCAGCCAAAGGGATAAAGAGTTAAACAGAGCTTCCCCTGCCATTTCCCTCGGCCAGGAAGAGGAGCTAAACCAGACAAAATACAGCTGGCCCCTCAGCACCCCCTCTGCTGGCCTCTAAGCAGGGGGAAAAAGGAATAATCCTGAGTTCAAAGGTCGGGCTACGAGAAAAGGAAAACGCCGGATGTGAAAGGGGGAAGGCAGGAGGAGACAGGTTGTGCCGGACGGGAATGGCAGGAAGCCGGACTGAGCAGTCGGGACAAAGGAAGGGGCTGGAATTCCCGGGTCGCCTTCAGGTCCGTTATGGCAGCGAGGTGCAAAGGGCTCTAAACGAATTCGGCTTCCGCAAATCCCAGCACCTGAACCTGGAGACACTTGAGGCCTTCAAGCAAGCTCACGTCTGCCTTCCTTGGAGTGGCTGCTGTATTATTACTGTCTTCTCTGGAATAAATATGGTCAAGAGGCATTAACTAACATGCTGGTAGCACAGGAAAAAAAAAAGTATAAAAAAGGTAATAATTCAGTTTAATGCAGCACTCTACAGCAGAAATAAGGACATGTGTAGGGCACACAGAACTGTAAGGTCTCCTTAAATCCTGGAAACTCTCTCAGTGAGAACAGTTACTCCTGCCCTATCTGCCATTCCCAGTCTTCCCAGTGCACTCTCCATCCTCAGCAGTTCTCAGTGGCAGTGACAACTGTTGCTGAGCCATCAGTATAGGATTTCAAACCGATAAAACCCCGAGTTTGCTAATCACGGACATCACGCTGCTCTAATCTAACCAGCCAAAAAAAAAGAAAGAAGCAAAACCCACAGAAACCACCCAAATAAAAAACCACACATACATACACACAACCTCCCCCCAGAAAGAATAAAGCCAGGGGGTCTACAAGAGAGGAAACAATCAGCTATTGTTGGAATCTCTATATACACAACAAAGATGATGCAGTGCAAGTAAATTCATACACAAATACAGTTCAGTTAATGCTGCCATGGATTAATGTATTTATATCCTTTACGTAAACAAATATTTTTAAAGTGACATGAAAATAACCAAAAATAAACTTAAGTGTTCAGCTAGCCTTTATATACTATGATTTGATTATCAAAAACACTGAAGGTGGAAATTCACTGTCTGCGGTCCAACAGACTGCAGTCTGATCACAGCTACATCAAAAGGCCTTACAGATCATAGCTAAAAGACATGCTCAATTTGAAAGAGAGTAAGAAAATGACATGAAAATTTTCTAGTATAAAGGATGAGGATGAGAAAGGGCACAGCCAAAGACATGAGCTGACCGGTGGTGACGGGAAGCTTCTGCATAAGGAGGCACTGAACACGGGGGACAGCTAGGGTGGAATATGAGGAAGACTACAAAAATTGTGGGTTGTACCAGGAGAGGAACTGAGCAAAGGTTTGCTCGTTATCCTCTGGATGCAGGGAATGGGCTGCCTCCAGTGCAGTGATCAAGTGGAAAACTGAAGACCAGTAATGGGAAGTTTTCCCAGCTGCCACCCACAAGAAAAACCAGACTTGGCAAGTGTCCTGAAACTTCACAGAAGCCAAAAGCTTAAGCAGGTTAAGAAAGATACTGGGCAAGTTCATGAAGGCCGTGTCCAGCAGTGCTGACTAAAACACCGTCATCCAGATGCAACATCCAACACCCAGATGTTGCAGCCCGGAGTGCCGCATTTTAGAGGCATAGTTTAAAGTTTGTACAGGGTCAGCCACAAAAAACAGAGGCTATTTTTAAATGACCACTGAGAGCCTGGAAATCAAATTAAGAGACCTGCTTTTGTCCTCTGATATTCTCCAGTGACTTAAACCCCTCCTGGAAAAACACCCACTCACATCATCTCTAATAGTTTTCAAAAGTTTAGTACTACAAGTATTTTGACATTCAAGTTCAATGCAAGGAAGGTTTCAGCATCTTCATATCTGTACTCAAAATCATGTTTTAAATCTACAAAGTTAGAAGCAAGAAGTTAATTCACCTTAATAAAAACTTTTTAAAGTAAGTATTTTTGGAAAAAACAATATCTTCTAATCGAAATTCGAAGTACATTCTACTTGCAGCTATCCCAGAGATGAGAGGGAAGAGTTAAGGTGACCTGAATAAAGCACAATAGATATAATGACATCTTATGTAAATTAGGGTGCAAGAATGTTTGAAAAAACTTGAAAAGACAGATTTCTATAAAAAGCAGGGCCAGATATAAACATGGCTGTGGAAAGAGTCTCCAGTCAGCAGCGCGTACTGTGCATCACGCAGCACTGACGCAGTCGTGATGCTGGGAAAGGTCATTCGCGGATAAACTACAATCCAGGGGGGCCATGCAGGGATATCTGAAAGGAGGCTGGAAAAAGTCTGGGCTCCCTAAGGAGCAAAACATTAGTTCAGACAAACCCATGCAATTTGTGGTTAAAATTATGAACAATTTATTATCTGGCCTCTTTTAACTCTTTCAAGAGATTATCTTGCTGCTGTCTGTAACAGGATACCAAACTATTCCTCTTTCACAAAGGGTTCAAGTTATAAATGGATCAGAAGCAAAAAAAAGTTTTTGAAACTAGACTGCAGGGCAAATTTTAAAAAGTAATACGGTGAATTCAAAGAGCCCTGAGGGACAAGCACCTTCCTTTCATCACCAAGGCACGCTACGCTCTACCACCTGCGCTCTACCACCCTCTTTCCAAGGAGGATAGCTAGTGCTTGGGTTGCCAGCTGCTTCATGATGTGCACTCAGACTCTTTCATAGTAAGACAAATATGTCACTAAGTATTACATCAGCAATCTGATTTCCTTATATTTGCTTTGATATACATGTCACTATCAAGTGCTTATGGAAATGGTGTGCAAGAAGAGCAAGAAGGTCTTGGGTTAGAGAGACCTTTCCCCTGAGTGCAGCAGCTCCTTCATTTTTGGAATAAGCAGAGCTCTCAGCCTCCTATAGTCTGCAGCAAACTAAATCCAAACTCTTCAGCAAGGTCTCCTTCTTTCTAGGGGGCAGATCTGCAAATCAGAAACCTATGCTAGTAACTACCAGCTTCCTAATACGGATTTATGTTATTTTTATATCGATTACTTCTATTCCACTTCTGAGTTCATGGTATTCTTGGAATGCAGCAGACACGAGTTTTTGTTTTTTCTACTGAAGCACATAACTGTACTGTTGAAGTTATCAAGTGGAAATAAGAGAGGTGGAATATGTGGTATTCAAAGACTCTGGTATTTATAAAGAAGTGCAAGATAAGAAACTTTCTGTTATGGAAAGGTAGCACACTCCTTGATAGATGTCCTACTCCGTTGAGGCTGCTTCAAATTCCAGGGATAAAAGCCTCATGTTGCCTTAAAAAGCTGCAAGTTGCTTTCCTGAGGTGATGGAAGAATGTACTTGTCAATTTTTGCGAAGACATCAGTCAGCTATTAGAACATGCATAAAACTATGGTGCAGAATAAGGTTTATGCAGACCAGAATCACCACGGACAAGAACAAAAACCAGCAACAACACAGAGTTATTTATACTGTGAATGAACTACAAGAGGGGGAGCACCGATGCTGCATTAAATGCCTAAATGATGGGACTATGAACAGCAACTTCCCTCTGCAGCCACTGAAGTAACTACTCTAAGCCACCTGCTTCTTTCTGCAGTAGTATTTATGTAGGAGAAAAAAACACAGAAAGCTTTCTTTTAGTGGAATATACTTACAGTTTAATACTAAACACAGAAATTTCACTTATATAGGTACCCTTTCACAGCATTTAGCACCATTAACAAAATCCAAAAAGATGACCTAATCATCAAATAATCCCCATGTTTAGAGTTAGCCACGGGATATCAGGTGAAATTGTAAATGTGCTAAGATATAAAACTGCCAGTGAACTTCCCAAAAGAAAGTCGTATTTAAATAACAACTTGCCTGGCTACGTAAGACACCAAGTAAAAGCATTGCTCCCCATTTCCTATAGCTTAAAACATGCTTTGAATAATTCTGAACACATTTTTGACTTGACTCCTTAGTTTGATATAAGAATAAAAGGCATATTCCTACCTGTAATGTACGTGTGTAACTGTTGGTTGTCGGTAGCCAAGGATCCAGGTTTGAATGTCTATAGGTTCACCTTTGGGATACGCAATGGTTGTGTCTATCACCCACTGCAGGCCTTTGGATTTGCTCTCTAGGGACAAAGGAAAAGTGATGTTAACCTAGAAAGTACATGCTACTGATTTGATAACTCTTTCATTTTTACATTACTTTATATCACTAGGTACAAATATAGCTTAAAAGTGATAAAATTAGGCAGCTTGATATTAAATTCAGATTTTATCAAACAGCACAGAAAGACTCTTCAGCCAAGGCAGCATTTTGGTTTCACAGCTGTTTCTGTTGAGCTTTGCTGTTGCAGCACACAACAGAGCAACTTCACTCGCCGTACGGGTATATTCACATGTCATGTTGGCCCATATGTCAGGTACTCCTCCCCATTTCCTTCAAGTAAAAGAGGAAAATGCAACTCTAACTTTCTAAGTTGCACTTTAAGTACATGTACGGGGAGGCCTTTGAAAGGGCTCTGGGTGGCTGCCTGTTGGTCACTGAGAACATCAGCCACGCAGAGCCCTTTGGCCACTACCCTCAAGGCAGCAGAAGGGGGATTTACTCCATGCACCGCACCTGGATTTTCAAAGGCATTAAAAAAAACAGAAGTCCAGAAGGTGGGGAAAAAAAGTCAAAGCAGATGAGAATAATTTGCTATGAAGTTTCCAAGCGCAGCGGAGAGAACGATCCCGAGGGAGGACGAGGGCGGGCAGCGGGCCCGGGAGGCGGCGCGCGGCCAGCTGGCACCCGCGGGCCGCCTCGCCAGTTTTATTTCTGTCCTGTGGGAACTGCAGTTGCCTCCTCTCCGAGGTCACGCTGCATCGGCGCCGGTATAGTAACAGCACATGTCCACAGCATGCCCAGCAAGGGCTTACAGCGTTTCAAGGGCTGGCTATTAAAAACAGCCACCTGTTGGTAGGAACACGCAGGAGGTGTCGGGTCCTGGGACAGGGCTCCTCCAGAGCGCAGCTAATAGCTCAGAAAGAAACACACTGGCGGCTGATGAAAACCAGGGCTGGCGTGAAAGGACGGGGCAGACGCTCACTGCTCACCTGCCTGTTCAGCACAGGGACCGGGGGCATCGAGGTGGAGCCTCACTGATGCTTCTTCCTGCATCGGAGGGCAGCAGGAGCGCGGGGAGCCCCTTGCCAAAGGCTGCTGAGAGCTGCTGCCACGAGGCAGCCGCATGAGTGTGGGGAGGAAAACCGGGAATCTTGCACTGAAAGTCTTGGTCAGGAGCATTAACGAGAGGATCTCCAAAAAAGCAAGGGTTGACACATGGGTTCCTACCCACCTTGAGCTTTGCAACGCGACTAGATGCTGCCAGCCCTGCTACTGTGTGCATCTCTGACCCATTCTAGCAAGCTGCAGTGCTTCCACAGTATCTGCTCACCACCGTGAAGCTGTACCCCTCGGTTACAAATGCAAAGAAGCCACCCCAATACAGCTCAACAGCAGTTCTTAATATTTATCTGGTTTAATTCAACAGCAGCATGCAACATGCTGTTGCAAAATCTGACAAAGTGCAAACTATGTAGGCCAAGGTGAAGCATCCGCAGCGTCACCCTCCTGCCACGTGGCATGTCTAAGCCCCAGGAGGCACAAGGAAGGAGAGCACGAGGGGCTCAAGAAGCTGCCAGGGCGCTCTCGAGAAGAGCACCCACTGCGGAGCCCTGCCTTTTAAAAGCAGCAATGTTTCATACCAGAGAAAAGCTGGTATGAGAAGTAATAGCATATTCTCCCAAAGCATTCATTTAGAAATGGATTTAGGAGCAAAGCCATTCAATTTATTATTTTCCCAGATGTAAAGTGGGAATGAGTAATAAAGACAAGTAATTTTCTAAGTGAGAAAGCAACAAAGATCATTAATTTTAATTAAAAAGTGCCAGCCAAATATGGGCGCATTATCTCTTTATTTACAGTAAAACATTTCTAAATCATTTATTAAATATTTAGCTAGTATTTCAGATTTCTCAGTGCAAACCTCACTGCAGAAGGGCTACAGGAGTCCTCCTTTTGCACGCCGCTTTCTTACCCTCTGCACAGAGGGCCCTGGGGGGAGGCACTGCTGGGATCCACCCCAGTCAGCTCTACCCTCCCTTCCAGGCCAAGCTGCAACACAGCAAAACCAAGCAAAAATCCCTGAACATAAATTCAGCCTCCACAGGCCTTCTTTTCCACCAAGCAGGTCTCTCCACACTGCCACAGCACTGTCGCAGACGTATTGATGGATACGCTGTTTTAAAATAAGTCTTATATCATCATCCGAGATCTCCTGCTGCCAGAATAAAAATAAGTCACTGAGGATTTTTAGAAAATTAAATTGGAAATGTTCATTTGAGGTATATGAGAAATACTCAGGACTTCCAGCTGCTATCTGTGTGTTCATGATTGGAGTAGAAATACTATCTGAAAAAATATGAGCCAGAAAGATGTTCCCTCCTATCAAGTCAGCAGCTGAAACCTGCAAAGGCACCAGCCTCTTGAAACACATCCTTCCAAAGGTAAATATTGGAAGTATCCTAGTGAGAGATTTTATTCATACGAACATTAATAAAATTGGGATTGACCAAGTAAGTAATAAAACCTGACTGCCATTTAAAGCTTGTACTAAAGCATGTATCCCACAGAAGGACACCAAGATGAGGGGAAAAATATATATAATGTATAAATATATATAAATATTTATATATAGCAGAGGAGAAAAGCAGAGGACAAAAAGCAGCCATACAGCCTGCTGCCTTTTCTTTTCTCCTTGTGTATAATTTCTCCTCCAGAGCGTTATATGACGCTGTGTCCTGGCCAGGAGCGTTTGTGCTGCTGCTTCCCAAAGCCACAAAGCTCCAGCAGATTCCGCACGCCGGGAAGAGACACGAGTGCCGACAGGGCAACAAGGAGGGGCAGGACCTTTGGGCAGGAACCAGGCGCTAATTTGCAGCAAACCACGAGAAACGCAGAGAGACGCAACCCGGGTTAGAGCCGGCAGGAACCGCAGGCCGTGGCGGCGGCGGCGCGAGAAGGGTGTTGGGCCAGCACAGCCAGAGACGCGCCTGGCAGCCGGGCCCCTGCTCTGAACTTTCTCCTTCTCCCTTTCCAGCAGCTGCCGGACAATCCAAGCAGCGGGGCTGCCAGCGACTCCATCAGAAGAAACAGGGGCAGAGACTGAATTGGAAGCTGACTTCTTGCTAAGGGCTGGTTTCTCCTCTGAGGGCTGCTGGCCACTTCCAGCGCAGGCAGAGGATTTTAATTTCTCAGAGTGCCTCAAAATGAAAACAGCCCCGATTCTCTTTAATTAGCGGGCAAAGGATCAAAACAGGCCTGCAAGGACCTCTCCTGTGCAGCTGCATCCAAACCTCACAGTGCTCGTGGGCACGAGCGGCACGAACCTTCCTCGGGAGGGCTAAGGCGAGACGCACGTGAAGACAGGACTAAGCAATCACACAAAACACTGTGGTTATACAGCTATAACCAGATAACCAAGTCCTCAGGAGCCTAATATGAGACAAGAAGTGCCAGATTGTTCTCAGCTGGGGTACTCCACCAAGGGCCCATCTTCAGGGCAGGGCTGCTGCAGGTCCAGCTGCTGCCCCATAAGCACTGAGCCCAAGCACATCGCAAGCGGAAAGGCGAAAATAGTTTGATTTTCACCACAACATTTCACAAGTTTCCAAACCTAGACAACCAACTCCCTCTTAACTGAAGAAACTTTGTATTTGCAGCCACATCAGAGAGGGAGTTCAGAAGAGCTCTGTCAAAAACAACGACGCCGGTGTCCCTGGGGTTACAGGCTGTGGGATGCCCACCACGTATTTTTAAGCTGTGTTTCTGCTCCACATGAGCAGCCCATCCAGGAGCGAAGGCAGCAACAGCAGCACTTCTGGGCACACAGCACATCTCTCTGGAGGGGGGCTCTCCTCTGCCACCAGCAATAACTTCCCTACCTCTTCTTAAGGGATGCACAATCCCCTTGTCTTTATTTTATACCTTCAGAAGTACTCAAGAAAGTTATCAAGTGACATTATTGCCTTCCTTATATGTTTTTACATCCTTCCATCCATTAAAAACTATAATTACACATTTACTTCAAAAGGTGCAAAAGCAGCCAAGGTTTCACTCATTTAGCTCAGTTTTTACCAGCAGAAGTTGAACTTGGCATAAATGAGGGCTCGAATTTGGAACTTCAAGTAGAGGTGAAGATATATGGCCAAAGGCTCAGAAAACTCACAGGAGGAAATAAGACGACAGGGACTGCTTGCCTTAGAAAAGCAGAGATCAGTTTATGTATGAAAATACCAAGCAGCATGGACTGTCCAGCCCTGGAACATCAGTTCTTCCTGTGACATTCCTTGGGCAGAACTACACAAAAAAACCTGGGGGAGATTCACAGCCTGTACAGGAATTGAATAAAGGATGACATATTAAGAATATTAATACTGTAATTAAGACTAATGAAATTTTTGAGCCTTGCACTTCACAGCATAAACCCCTCTCTCTAACAAAGAGATGAGAGAAATCAAATTATAAACCTTACAAAGGGCGAAAGACAGATTGTCTGTACAACACAGAGCTGCTGTACAGTTAGTTAGTACAATTCCAGGGATATTTGATGCCCAAATCAAGCTATTGGGCTGAGGGGAGAAGGGTGACCCATGATGAAACAACTATTCTGCACCAGGGTTTGTGTCGGACCAGGGCGCTCTACAACACTACATTAAGAAGGAATTATCTTTTTTGGGGGATGCTTTTGTCTTTTCCTTTTTTTTTGAACCAGTATTATACATAGCATTGTAGTAGGAAAGCAGGCTGATATAAAAAACTATATGGATGGTTTTTAATGAATTTTCTTACTAGTTAAAATGGTACCTGTCAAGAGCACAGCAGCTCTTTATCGGCACCATCGTAACACAGAAGGCTTATGCAGCGCCTCTGTGCAAGACACTGATGCAACCAGCCCTGTAAAAATTACACCGAGCTCCAGCAGACGCAAAGATGACTCATTTGTTAGATGCTCAGCTTGAAAATAAAACTCTGTAAAAATTTATTACATTTAACTGAACACAAACATTCTTCAAAAAAATTCCTTTCTTGCAGCGGCCAGAGTGAAGTGTGGAAGCGTCTGGAAGGCAGAAGATTAGAGCAAGAGTCTTTTACACATGACACAGGGCAAGAATACACCCTTCATACAGCTCTGAAGGGGGAATCTCATTGTGGCAAAAAGTTTCTGTGAGCTTAAAGGCAGAGAGAATTTAAAATAATTCAGCTACAAATAGATCAAATAGTATTTTTCCTGGCATATAGAGACCAAAAAAGAAACAACAGCAGAAATCATCAAAAAAAAAACACACACAAAGGTCATATTCTGGAATGCATTAGAAATCTAAGCGCACAAAAGTATAAAACTTCTTCCTTGTTGAATGTTTTTGGTTCACCTTCCGATCTAAAAGGCCTATACATAAAACTTTATGCATAAACTCTTATACTAGAGACCCCAAACCATCCATCAAATCTGCAGACATCAATGACAGTTTAACTCCCAGCAATAGAGACATTGACCACAGTCCACAGAGAACAGACAAAAGCTCAAACTCGGACGGAAACAGTGTGAGGAGAAGACTGGAGCCTGTGCAGGACTGTACACAATGAAACTTTTAAAATCACGATTAGAAATTGAAAGTAGACTGTAGAAATCAAAAAAAAAAAAAAATCAAAAATATAAATATGGTGGTTTAAAATAGACTTTTTCAATTCAACACTGACAAAAGTTTTGCTTAGTAACTCATAAATCTTGAAGATTCAGTTTACTTTTTATCCATAAGAATTAAGTGATCTTTACCTTTTATCACAGTGTTTCCGCTTGCTATAGTTCCATTTTCTTGCTTAGGTACAAGTGTTTTCAGAATTACTTCCGTTGCCCCAAGTCTTGGCAGGGTGACATGTTTAAGAAATGGCAAATTGTTTTTCTTGGCAAATGCCTGACTCGTTTCCCTCCTCTTCCTCAGAAAGCCACCCTCTGGAAATAAAACAATCCATTTCCGATTACGGCTTCTGTAATATTTTTCTAGATGCTCCTTGAGTAACCCAAGCTGCTGGTCACGGTGTGCTCTTCCCTATAAGGGATAAAACATAAAACATTACCTAAATAAAATGAATGCTTAAGAGAATGTTAGATAATTAAGACAGTTCTAAGATTCTTAGACTTTTTCTCTCTTCCTTTTTTTTTTTTTTTTTTAAGAGATACAAATAAGCTCTACTATAAAATAACAAAGTATGTCCTCCACTGGTGGCCAAGTTAATGTAACTTAAGAGAAAGACAAAACAAAAATAAGAACTCTTTGAAAGTGAGGATGAAACTCTCCATTTGAACACTTCTCTAAGTGTAATTTCTGGATTGTCAATGCGAGTTTCACATAATGGGACATACTGAATTCTATATTTATTACCAGCTTCTAAGTCGAATTCACTAAGTAGAATCCCGCAAATACAACCTCGAGGTTAAGCTATGCCCTTCTTGCTCCCAGACTGTCAGTAATATGTGCAAGATAAACAACATCTTCACTTAACTCTGAATAACCCCCATTACCTTCTGTGCAGCTTTGTATCCTACCCCATATCAGAATTGTACAGATGAGGGAGGATAAAATTAGACCTAAACAATAAACCTTAGTTAGCACAGGTAAAAATCGCAAATTCTCTACACTCTCCGAAACAGTGTGCTGCTTGAATGCCTAGTTTCAACTGGAATTAGCACGCTGAATAAAACAGTTATCGACTGGATCTTCTAGAAGAGCCCCACTTGAAAGAGAAACAATATTGGGCTGTAACATTCACAGATTTTCTTTCTCCAGGAGAGGTTGTTGGGTGGAAAGTAACTTGCTTTGCAGGAACTTTTAAAAGAGGAATGTATGAAAAGGAAAGTGAGAGGCATTCAAGTTAATGATGTTGTACAGCACCTGCTTCTGGCTGGTCACAGTCAGTCAGTTAGCAGTGTATAAGGTATGGTCAGATGACAACTAAGCCTGAAGGACCAAAGGAGGGGCGTGGGAAAACCAAAAGATTCTGCTGCTGCTGCTGTTCACATTTCCTCTTTAAAGAGTTAGCACACCTTCTCTTCAGAAAAGGGACTTTATTTATTTTTTAATACAAGTGGTCACAAATCTCTTTTGTACAAGGCAAACTGGTAAAGCTACACAAAATGGAAAGCCAGGACCAAAAATTCATTCTTCTGGAAGCTAGTGCTCCTACGCAAGCAAAATGTGCATTCAGGCTCCTCAGACGTCATTTGCCTCAACCTTCAACTGAAATAGAAAAATATTTTGAACAAAGATACTTCATATGCTCATCTAGTATAAAACACAGTTTAATCAAAACCAATAAAGCTCTTCATTTTTCCATTTTATCTGTACTTTGGAATACAGCGTTATGCTGTGTCAAACAATGCTGTTCAAATATTCTGTAAAGTATACAAGATGTATTTAAGTGTCAAACAATTGTATAAACTATAACTAACATTAAGATGAACTAATTATTTTGAGTATGGCTGTGACAAAGCTTTAAGGCCAAAGACAGCACCGTTTGTCCTTAATTACTTCAGAAATATCTTGACAACAGAAATCTTCTCTCTTCCTGCCCCACACAGAGCAGGCCCAAACCTCTCTAATTTTCACAGGCATCAATTTATACCAATTAATACTTCTGAGAGCTCTGAAGTCACTTTGCCAAATTGCTCAAAAGACTCAAGAGTCCAAAATTTAAATTCTCCTAAGCAGAGGCAGTTTTACTCTCTGAAAGCTTAAAGGACACTGCAATAAATCTTCTGCTACAGTTATTTTTTGCTCTGCTTTTTGTTTTAGGGGTCTGGTGGTGGCAGACTTGACTGGGAGGCAACGCTAAGTAGTATTCTACTGAAGACAAGTTCTGTGAAAGCATTTCAGCGACGTTTTGAAACCCCATCATTGCAATTATTTCTTAACTTACCTCTTTGGAAGGAAAGGAAAAAGCTCTGCCTGCTCATAATAATTCAGTTAGGGAGCAACATAAAGAAGTTCCTCAGTTAAAACAGTCCTTTCACACCAGACCACAGGACTTCAGGATAGCACAGTAGTTAAGAAAAGAGCAGCAAACAATAAACTTTTTCATACATTGGAGATTAAAACTTCCAAAAACCCAAAATACCTAAAGAAAATGACTAAGGGGTAAACTGAAGTTTAGCAAATATTGGGAGGTTTTAAGAGAGTGAGTTGTATGGAAGCAAAATAAATGCCTTAATTTGCGCATTATTCAAGATCATGGTTAGTCTAGCAGCGTCACAGGCAACAGGCTGAACTTCCTTTCTTTTACAGGAAAGCAATCAGGTATCAGCCAACTTCTGCCAAATGCTTTAGGGTGGCATGTCTTTTGCATCACCAATATGGCAAATGAATGAGAAAGTCGCTTTCTAGGGAAGTTTTCATTTGTCAACCTGTAGCAGACATCAAAAGCATTCCTAAAAGTGCTCTCGGTCCTGCTCTTGAGAGGGAGGTTAATATACATTTTTTTAAACAGATAACATTTGATCGTGACATAGTATATTATCATTTTACAGAAAAGTGGTTATTATTCAGGATGCTGAATATTAATACTCTAACATACACATCTATTATTTATTTACCTTAAAGAATCAATTCCTTACTATTTGTGCAGGTTCACCTGCACAGGTTTAAACTGATCTGAACCATGTCACCATCAAAAAAAGATAGTCCTGCATTTCCTTATCTGAAATTAACCTTGACAGTCAGAGCAATGAACTCTGTACCAGACTCACTGTACAGCTTCAAAGTCACTGAGGAAAGAAGCTTCAAAGTCACTGAGGAAAGGTCAATGTGCAGTCAGAAATAGAGAGACAGAAAAAAACGCCTGTCCGTGTCCTTCATTTGTACCACTCTCTCATAACACTCCCATCTTGGTACAGTCCTGTAGATGTTTGCACTAGAAGCTTTAAACAACACAAAAGTATAAAAAAGTAGGTTCAAAATATCAAAGTTTTATCTGAATACACATTTCAGGATAGTTATTTCATCCTGCAGTCCATCTAGTGAGGCTTAGCAGAAGCCAGTCCCAGACCACGACCAGGGTCCAAATACAAGGACAAAACTGAGCACTGCTATAAATGCTTCCATTTACCTGTCTTATAAAGAAGTCTCCATGGATGAGAGAGACAATGCCAAAATTTGTATACTTAAAAATATGATCCATCAGCCACATCATGTGACGAACAACCTGGAGAAAAAGAAAGAAAAAGAAGAAAATAGCAGCTTAATAAGTATTGTGTGCAGAGAATCACATACGTATCAGTCATCCTTTTTCTGAAGCTACTACAAAGTCACCTTCCTGGCACCAATAGAAACAAGCAAATATCTGGAATTAAGTCTTTCAGTCCTCAAAGTAAGAAGCAGCAGAGCTGCTAAATCATTTTTCCCCCCAAGAACAGTGTTAAATACAAAATATCTTTTCAAAATTTAACATATGGTTCTACGTTAGTAGTCAATGGAGTCATTTCCACTGCATGTTCACACACGTGGCACAATATTTCTTCCTGACATCCCACTGTAACTTGAATTTAGAACTGCAAACCCAAATCATTCTCCGTTTTGATTAAAGGACACACACAAGAATACAAGTTTGTATTTGAAATCTCCAGCTGTTTGATGTCTACTATAAAAACAGGTGTTTTTTTTTTTGTTTTTTTGTTTTTTTGTTTTTTTTTTTTTTTGCATGGGAGATTTTGGGGTAGGATCATTTTCCTCCCCCTTTTCTGATATGCCCCTTTTATGCTCAGCCTTGTCTTTGAAGAGCAGCACTCACTAAGACCTGGCTACAGCTCACACGCCATTAGTGTCTGTTCCCCATGGTAGAGCAGCCACACGCATCCCTCAGCGATTCTGCTAAGTGATCCTGACCAAGGAGCACATCAAGAAGGTAAAAATAGAGGCTGAGCCATTAGATTCACCTCGACCATTTCTTCCATAGGGCAATGAAGGCGCCTATTATATAATGTTTAGTCCTTTGAGACTTAGGATAGAAAAAGTTACTTGAGAACAAGTGACAGGAATATGGAAATGATGCTACTCCTGATAGTCTCTTCTCTTCTTGCTCCTACACACAGGCTTTCAGAGGGGTAGCAGTTGCCTTTCCAGGCTTGGAACCCCTATATTAGTTGCTTATTTTCTCCAAAGTCAGTGAAAAGCAAAATCTCATGATATGGCCTCTCTTTCATTTATCACAATCAAAGATATGAAATCCATCATATCATTTCTCTAGTGGGCAGAAGACAGGCCCTTGCTTTCAACCATACTGCTAGCTAATTTGCTACAGCGAGTGATAGTGGCTTTGTCTCTTTTTATATCTTTGCATATCTAAGCAGAACGTGCAGAAATAAATATTTTAATGCAGGAATTTTGATATATGAAATTATAGTTACAAAATGCACATTATCAACCTTTTTGTAAAGGAGACTTTTCTTTTTCATCCAAGATTATCTAATTATCTCTTCAGGGTGCTCTGATTACCTATTTTCCTCTTTGATCACAGAAGCTATAATTGAAATCTGGGCTATATACTTGGAGAAAAATAACTGTTACATACCTTGTTTATTTTACTTATCCTTAGACAACTTCAAAATGTTGAGCAAAGTGGAGTTTGACATACTTCTAAGAATGTAACTGACAGGAAGCATCTGAGACGCTTTATTATTGTAGATAAACAAACAATCTTTCAACTAAATGTAAGTGGCATGTATAGAAGCCAGCTATCTTTGCAGAAGAATATATTATGAAAAAAAAGTTAAGATTTTAGCATTCAAAATTTTCTATTTGCAAAGTTTGGATAAGGCAAGGGCAGCAGTTTTGGACCCTCCAATGTCTGTAGCAGGAAGGGAAACCAGACCCAAGAGAAAAGAAACGTCCTCAGAGGTGAAAGGTTCTGCTTTGGAAGGCACGCTGCTATCTCTGCTCGTCTGCAGTAGCATTTCTTAGCCAATGTTAAACATCCAAAAGAGAAAAGACACACTACTTATTTATAAATGAGTGGAAAAAAAAATAGCTCCTCAATATAGCTCCCCATTTGAGGCTAAATTAGCCTTAGTGGTTCTAACACAACTATTGCTTACGCAATATTACAGAGAAGAAAGAGGATCTTAAAGTAAGAATTCTTCTCTGCAGACAGGGACAATGTCCCCATTACAGTGGAACAGAAGGGCAAAAATGAAGGAGAAGTTAGAACACTAAGGGTAAGAGCAAAGAAGAACATTTTGGAGAAGAGTCATTCCTCCCTAAGGCACCCGACACCATGAGCCTGTGCTCACGTCTCCACGCAGAGAAGACAAACTGATGTAGGTGACCATGTCTAGGCCATCACCCATCCACAATACTCTGAAATTCCAAGATAAAGCTTTAGCCCTCAGCAATGATTGTACCACCATCAGGACTCATCTCCTACTTCTAGTGTTTGACAAAGACTCTTCCATTACATCAAGTAAAGACCAGGCCAGCACGGTTTTGCTGGAGAAGAGCAAAGAAGACAGGCTGCTTCCCTGAAGAAGGAAGTTCTGAGGAGTCACGCTGGTCTCCAGATGCACTGTGGCAAGCCCGGAGGAGCAGCTCTTGCCCAGTAAGCTGGGACTTCTCCACACCAGTCTCCATCACCATGTACCAGCTTGCCAGTTAGCTGACACATTCAGATAATAGGAAGTTTCTCTTGAAAGTTTTATCACTGCTTTTCAGAGCCAGAAACTCATCTGACCATGTCCTTCTAACTAGCATCCTTGGACTAACTCAGTGTTCTTAAGAAAGAGCGACTGCCAAAGCAGAGCAGCACAACACAGAAGTGCTAATCAAGACATAGACCGTTTGCTTTGAGTGGGCTACAACCAAGACAGACTCCAGAGCCTGGTGATGTCACATCTACCTCTGAGCCTATACAGCAGCATAGAGCACCAGGAGGAAAACAAAAAACAACCACAAAGAACATTCTAGTAGATAAAATAAAAAGAAGGGACAGTTCAAAGAATAATACATGCCTAGTTACCTTGTTTGCAACCAACAAGCATCCTAGGTTAACAGACACTCGCTCTGTTCTGCCATTAAGTGCAGAACAGAGGAAAGGGCAGGACAGTGGTGGCTCTTCTCCTATTATCCTTGGGAGATTAACAGTTCTGTTCAGGAGAGTCCCTCTTGCACCCATTTCAAGCACGTTTAAGCAAACATATTCAAAAACTGGTTGAGCAGAGACTCACAAGATGTTCACAGACTGAAAAGAGTTTTGGGGCACCACTTCTCACGCTTTTTGCTTCCTCCTTCCTAACCAAGGAAAGTTTGGAATATGAAGGAAATTCTTCCCGATTCAATAACAAACAACAAAGCTGATCATTTTCAGGCCTACCTTCCTTTCATTCTGCACAGATTTCCCATGAAAGCAATCTGAGCAGATGGACTTTGATCTTTCAAGCACCCATCTGCAAGCTCACAATGAAGCCTGGGAATAAATGTTTTGCAACTTGCACTAAGAACACCTGAAAGCAATTTTTCCCTCCACTACAGCCTTTCAGCCAGGGCTCAGAAAATACAGCCAAATTTATTATTCCTAATCCAGTTAGAATGCTGTAAATGCACCATTTTAACCTACTGCTCTTTGCTGAGCACATCACATTTAATGTTGGTGAAATGGCCAGCAGCTTACTGGCAGCGTGTTTTGATGCTTACTTTCACATCTGCATCAGAACAATTACATGTGCTATAGAACAAGTGGGAACGGTGTTTTCTGACTCAGGAGAAGCCTTGCTCCACATGGCTTGGCTTACAGTAAAACAATATTGGACCAGCCCTTAGCTGAAGTTGTATTTATAATAAAAACACACTCTTCCTTAGCAAGAAATCAAGTCTCCTTTATTCACCTGTGTCTTCTTTACTCACGTGGGCAAATTTGAAAGAGAAGTGCCTTGAAGTATGAATTTTAGCCTTCCCTTTAAGTTTGAGGAGATTAAACTTGCTTAAAACAGATTTATACAAATGGTTTTGTGGCCTAAAAATTCATAAAATGCTAGAAAAAATACCATCATGGCTTTTTTTTTTTTTTTTTTTTTTTAAACAAGGTCCTCAGGAAGTCTAATTGCAAGTTGCAAGGAAGCTTCAGTATTCAACACTTGGCTACACAGAACAGAACTCTGAACTTTGTCTTAACTTGAACTCTCCTGAGTTCAAGTTAAGAAAGAAAGAAAGGCAACAAACTGGAAAAGCAAACGGGGAAGGATTCAGTCCACACAGCCTGGTAAATGAAAGCAAAGGAAAATCTGAGCTGTTGCAGAAGAAAGCTCTTTGCAGCCTGCCACTGCCCCACTGCTCAGAAGCAGCCTTTGGTTGAAAGACTCCACACTCCCTCTACATCAAAATAAAATAAGCCTTTCACCCTTAGCAAAGAATGCCGAGAGCTAGAAAGTGTTGATGTATGGTTAAAAAAAAAAAAATTTAGTCGCCCCCGTTTTTTTTTTTTAGTTTCACTAGGCCAGGTTTTTTATTACTCCACTGCTTTCACATTCTCTCAAAGAGAAAACAATTCTTTACGGCTGTTCAGAAATATGAAGCATGCTATTTAAAAACACCTGATACAGCAGCTTCTATCAAGGATAAAATACCCTGATCTTTCTTATTATTTATAGCCACTGGACTACTACTCATGCAGTATTTTAAGCACGTTTTGAAGCTTATACCTTTTGTTAGCTTTAAAAAAAAAAAAAAGTTAAATCCATTCAAGGCTTAGGACTCTCACACTCTCACACTTTTGGAGCAATGATTACAAGTACTTAAGGGGAGGGAAATGATTTTACAGGTGCTTTGCTTTTCTGAAAGCCACCAAACCTGAAAGTCCCCCCAGCAAAGGTTATTCTCCCCTCCACACCTTCCTCCTTTCTTCAGGATCTTCCACATTTACACCAACTTACATTGCTCTGGCTAAAGATATTATAATCACGTTGGTAACTGCAACCCTCAAGTCTTTACTACTTTTGTTTCATTTGCATAATTTATCTGTGGAGTTAAAGAAGTTGGATAAATATCTTTTAAATTTATATATTTGTACACAATACATTCACATACATTCACACACATACACATGTGTCCATGTGTTAGGATACATACATGAATCAATGAATTTCTATAATACCCCAAACTTTTAAGGCATCTAAAACTTTGAAATTCAAGGTAACATTAAACGCACATCCACAAGTCTGCATCTTCACTGGTTCCAAAAGACTGTTCTAAGGATAGTTCTGCTAATGGGAATTAAACATTCCCAAGAGTTTTCTTTGTCCTTCTGCTCATTTGGGTAGTGTATTAGAATACGGAACTTCCTCCATTCCTAGAGGAATTAAAGCTATTAAATGTACTTTTAGAACATTGTCTTCTCTGCACTATAGTAGAAAAAGAAGCAGGAAGTCTCTTTGGTGATCTCAACTGGCATTTTCCCACTTTCCTAATGATAACTGAATATTTGTGCCAGATCAGCCACAAGTAAGATCTGGGGAGAATTCTATGAAAATGTTAATCACCTACAGAGACACAGTGTATGCAAAATTCAGATTAACATACACTAAGGAAAAAAATAGAGGCATTTACAAGCTGTGGAGATGCAAGGAAGAACAACTGTTTTCCTCATTTCCCACATGCCAGTATCAGGAGAGAAGACATCATTTTAAGTGTTAAGTGACTCACTATGCAGTTTTTCTGTCTGCCAGGTCTGTCTCCTACACTTTGCAGCCTTATCATACACACCCCATCCTCACAACTAGTTTCCCCACAAATTTAAATTCCTAACCAGAACCCAGTTGGCAGTCTCCAACACTGAACTCCCTATCCATGACATTTCAGAAGAGCAACATGTGGGATGACTGACACGAGTTCCATTTCCCATCAACGAATGCTTAAGAGTTGTAGAATCAGCAGCTCAAGGAATTCTGTCTTTGGATACCTTAGCTTGGGCATGTCTCGCAGCAAAGGCATTTTTGATTTCTGAACTCCCACCCAAAATGCCATTCCCAGCTTCCTTCTGACTTGATGAGAAAACCTGATAGGTGGGAAACTAAACCTGTGTTAGTTCAAGTCAAGTTGGAATGATCTGCAGGGAGGCACAGGGTGAGACGATGATTATCCGCAAGGAGATCTGCTTCCCTCCACATGAACCCAGGCAGGCTCCACACGGACTCAGCTTTATCTGACCTTCTTTGAAGGCACCATTTACCATCTCTCACCTGCCCCAAGCTACTGGCTGTCACATCAACCCAAATCTAAACAACAAAAGTTCCTGTTGAAGGCTGCAGGATTTCCTGATGGATGAGCACACACAGAGCCACGTACCAGGCAGGGCTGCAAGCACACACAGGGTAACAAGGAGGACACACAGAAGACGACCCGCTCCCCGGTGTAGCCTACCGTGCCTTTATCCTGAAGGCACATCATGAGAGTGCAGACATCCCCTGTTGCTTGATGGTTCACCAGCACCACGGCTTCATCTTCTGATACTGCTTTAACATCGTCACCCCATTCCACTACTATTAAAAAAAATAAAAAATAAAAGAAAATAAAGGGTAAACTTTACAGTGACTGCATTGCTAATTTTACTAGCAACATAACAAACCAAAAGAAGAAAGACCCCCACATCCAGACAGGCGTAATAAAGAAACCCATATGCCATATGTTGATTTAAATTGGCACATAGCATACAGAGAGGAAAATCAGCAAGATCGGTCTTCCAAGCAAAGGGTTTCCAGCATAATTGTAAAGGGCATGCACAAAATGGGGACCAAAGAAAAATACTTCATCAGAACTTATGCACGGAGATTGATCTTTCTATGTCATTACACCATTCTATATTTAGGGTCTCAAAATTATATAATCTTTTGGCCTAGCTTTCAAATTTAAATGTCTTGCCTCATTAGCTCAAATAAACAAAACAAACAAAAAAAAAAATTAAACAAAAACAAAACCAAAAAGACACAAGTTGTTAAAAATCTTTTTTTCTTGTTTTTCTTAATCTCAGCAAATATGGTTCATTTGTATACTTAGTCTTATTAAACTATTCTAGTAAAAGCAAAATGAAGAAATCTGTAGTTGGAACATGATGTTTAAAAAGCTGTATTAAATAAACAGTAATTCCAAGCTAACCAAGTTAATTATAGGCAAGAAGGTGGGTTCAGAAAATGAGCAGCTCAGATGACAGGAACTATTAGTCACTGTTTTGGAGACCAGAGACCAGACATTTCAGTGGCAAGAATGACATCAGGAGGGTGCTACGGCTTCCATCATCCAACGCTTACTAGCAAAATTATGCTGAGATAAGGAAGAAACAAATAGCTAGAATTGCTGCAGTGCATCATCACAGCGTAACTAACTAGAGAAAGAGAAGGTCTCCCAATGAAGAACAGAGGATAGAAAAGTGGAAATAAATCTGCTATAAAATCAAAGATCTCCACAGATCTAAGGCTGTTTTGGGAGCAAAGAGACAAATGAGCAGCCCCTGGATGTCTTCAATGGAAAGGAGGGTTAACTTCAATGCAGGGCAGAGGGAAGGGATGGGCAGGGATCAAAGGGAACAGAAATTCTAAAGAAACAGCAAGACTTGCTGCCTGTAAAAGCAGTTTTTTCCCCTCATTTTTTTGCGCAGTATCTCCAGGATTCCTACCAGCTATCCAGGTTTTTGATATGAAGGGAAGCTGCTCCCCTTGGCTGCACAGCCTGTGGCCCAGCTCCGAAAGGCTTTTTACAGAGAGCCCTATGGGGAGCGCCGGCTCCGGCTCCCCAGGCCACGAGAGGGACCTTCCTCCACGGCTCTCTCCAACACCGGCGCCCAGCCGAGGCCAGAGCGACAGGCTCCGACTGAGGACAAGCAGCAACACCCCACGCGTGCCGGCGCCTCGTGGCCCCACGGAACCCCAGCCCGCCCCACGCCGGGTGTTCACAGCCCGCCCAGCTCCTCTTCATTCCCAACATTCATTCCCGACGGGAGGGCTGGGCCGAGACCTCCACAGGCCTCGGTGTGGCCACAAGGCCCAAGAACCAGGTGCTGGGCAGGGAGGAGGCACCACAGCCTCCCCGCAACCTTCAGCCACCTCTTATCTTCATCAAGGAGCCCATGTGCTGCGGTCTCAACGAACTGTGACTTTCTAAAAATATATCTAAAAAATAAATGCAAATTGTTTTAAGCAGTGCAAAATAAGGAGGTATCCGACTACTGTGAAATAAAATGATTTTCTCTCAGAGCTAGAAGAAAACAAACAACTCAAACATATTTACCTGGAATAATAATATTCTAATACTAATAACAACAATTAATAATTAACTAATACATAATTAAATATTAATATTAATATTCTAATATTAAACATTTCTACTAGAGAACAGCTTACAATGAAATCACCTATTTTTAACCTTTGAAAGTGCTTCGAAGTTCCAATTTTCTGAAGAATCAAAATAAAGGTCGTAACTGAAAAATATGTTATGAGCAGTAACAAGCAATGGAAAACAGCTAAAAAAAGTGGAGCTACACAGCTTATTTTGCTAGGAAAAAAAAAATCTCGTCACAGAAGACCAACATCTGAAAAAGAGTTTTTTTGGATCAGGTCCAAGGAAGACAGTGGTGCAGGGGAAGCTTCTGCCATTACCTAAAATGTTTTACATACTCTTGTAAGTGTAATATTGTGCACAAGCAAGCAAACAGCTTAAAATGCATTAAAAATGCTTTCAGCTGAAATATAGTAACAAAGAAGTTGTCCACTCCCAAATATAAGGCAAAAAAATACTTCATTTAATCCCTAAATTGATTTATTCAAGCCATGTTATCTGTCAGCTGGTCAAACTAATAGCTCAACTTTTCCAACCTCAATTGCCAGGTAGCGAGTTACTAATCCACAGAAATTGAGCTGTATCTCCTCTAGTTTCTCTTCCATCTGTCTCTTCTCTTTAGACAACCAGACTGTCTCTTGTGTTTGATGCTGCTTCACAGGCAATTGATTGAACTGGCTATCAATGAGGAAAAAAAAAACAATCAGCTTGTGCAGTCCTTCAAAGATCATTGCTAGATGGGAAATAGAATAACAAGCCACAAATGTGCACAAAAACACTATCACTAACACTTTTTTTAAGAAAGAGAAAAAAAAACAAAATTAAGTATCTAGGTGACAAGTATTTGTCCTTTTGGGCACCTAAAGGACAGCATTCCTCCACGATCCTCTGCTGCCACAAAGGTGACATTTTAAATATACCAGTCTTTTATCTATAGCCTCACAAAAGTTAAATCTCTGCAACTATAAATAAAATAATAGAAAGAAATGAAGATACAGGATCTCAGGCTTAGTTGGCAATTTGAAAGGATGGTAAATGCAGTACCAGGCATATCTGGTAATCCTGACTAGTAATGAAGTTTAACCTTAAAGCGTGCACAGAAATAGCTTAGTTATCAGAGCTACTGCATTTGTGCTTGTGTGTTGTAAGAAAGAAGATCACCTGGGAATGGATCAAGACTCAGCACCTAAATGCAAACAAAGGCCCAACAGGCAAACTCAGCCTTCCCTTACAGCAAGGCGTCCAAAAAGTACACAAGTCTCCCAAATATCAACAGTGCATTTTAAATAATCAGCTGCAAACTGAGCTTTTTATGAGCTGCTCCCTGCAGAGCTTAACCAAGAAAATAATAAAAGCAATAAAAGAGGCTTTTTCTCCATGTTGTAACTGAACTAGTGCATCTAAATGGAGCTATTGAGAGCTCTCAGAACACTTGGCTGCTTTGTAATCATGTCCTTAACATAACTGTGTGCGGATAAGTGATACTATGAATAAATATCAAAGCACTTTAATAGCAGTATGCTATTAGGCTGGGCAAACGACTACTCCACTAACAATTCAGGGGGGTTATTTTACACTCTTGAACATACCTAAAAATTTTTGGCACCTGCACGACTTAAGTACTACCAAAAGTACTAGTGAGCACCTGGGTTTATTATTTCAAAATGTATTGAGTTTCACTTCTTATTTCTCCACCGCATTGGAAGGCGGAAAAAGGAAAGTCTCCCGCCTGAAGTTCCAACAACGATTAGGAAATGGGCAGCAAGAGCGAGGGCAATTCTCACACTGGTGTCAGCCAAGTCAAGAAGCTACCAGACTGAGTCCAGAGATTGAAAAGAGACTCAGACTTTATGGCAACGTCAGGGAAATTCTTCAGTGTTCTTACTACAAATACTGAAAAACTCTCTTTTGCTACCACAAAAAGTGCTTCTGCTTTCTAAAGGGAAGATCTTTATTATTAGGTACAAAATAACAACTGTAAGCCATTAGACTTTAATCGTTGTTCCTCATAATCCAGCGTTTTTTTGGCACATGACAGCCCTGTTTTAGTGTGTCCACAAAACACCATGAGCCAAAGCGCCTTTCAGCTAGAGTGGCTGCACACACTCAATCCATTTGCCGCTTCTTTATAGATGGGATTCTGAAAGCTGCCATTAAGAAATCCAAGAAGTAAAGCCAGAGATTAAATATTGCTTAACACGCCTCGCCTTCATTAAAAAAATAAAATATTTAAAGTTGAAAAAGACAACATGAAGGTACACTGTGGTTTTCTGTTTGTTTCTACAGCAAGAGGCTAAAGGTCTCTGTATCTGCAGATTGATATACTTAACTATGCTGAAAAGGGCACCAAAACAACTGCCCCCCCCCAAAAAAAAAAAGAGAGAGAGAGAGAGAGAGAGAGAGAGAGAGAGAGAGAGAGAGAGAGAGAGAGAGAGAGAGAGAGAGCGCGCGTTCACCTACAAACAGTATTTCATGTTTATTAAGCAGCAAGAATTTTAGGCTTAGAAGGCATTAAATATATATATATTTTTTTCATATACATATGAAAATTGTTGCTGGTCCAAACTGCAGCAGCCGACAGGCACCAGCACCTCCTGCTCTGCCGTTTCCATCACTGAAAAAGCAGCTCCGAAAACAAAGCAGGGACGGAGGGCCGGGATCCTCCCAGGGATCCCAGAGGCTCGAAGCCCTTCCGCAGCACAGAGGTTACAGCGGCCAGAAAGCCACTGCCTGCAGCAGCAAAGGGGCAGCCTCCCCCCTTGCTCTCACTGCCGAGGAGCAGCTTTTCCCTCTTGTAGCACGTGAAATGAGACAGTGGCACAACCAGGAAAAGTGACTAAAGGAAACTGAAAATGAAGCAAGCGGTCTCGGAAATAAAAAAAGAAAATTGTAAGGAGTATCAAAAGAGCCATGAAATATGTTCAAGCACATGGCCATCCGTGTCCTAAAAAGATGCATAAATCCAAAACAGCACCAAATAAACTTCACACTGACTGTTATCATATCAATTCATATTTAAAGCTAATATTCAGTCCCATTTTTGGTCATTCCTGGTTAGGCTATAGAAAGAAACTCTGTCAAATGGTGTCCAAAAATGGCAATTTCAGGCAGTCTCTGAAACTACCTTTAAGATTATTATAAACCAACAAATGGCTCGTGTACAAAGTTTTGCCTTTTGCCGGCTAAACATTCTGGATCACCTGGGATGACC